TGATTTGTAGAATTACTATGTAGATTTTTATACTGCTTAGATTAATTTTTGATTCACTTTTTCGTATGTATTCTAATGGTTTTATATTCTTAGCTAATAATTATTAAGACAATTTCTTACTTAAGAATTCGTTTACAAATATTAAATTTTTTAAATTTAAACTCATAAAGTACAGTAGTGGTTGTGAATTTTCAGCTACATCATATCAGGTGTTATTATTGCTAAAATTATTTTACTACATCAAGATATATTAAAAGTCGAAATCTACCCTATAATAAGGCCTCTTTAGTGTGAATCAGTAGGAAGTTTCTGGTAAAATTACAATAATCACTTCAATGAACCCTATTTTCCTCTAATGTACCTCATTATTTTATTATTATCACACTCATGAATTTTTACTTTCACTCACTCAAAAAGTCTCATTATCTATCATTTTTTTTGGCAATATTTATTCCAAGATTTATCCAGTAGATTAATTTCAATAGCTACTTTATTTTTTTTCTCACTGATTTTTATTATTAATGTTATTAATTTCCTTTTATTAATAGTTTTTAGAAATTTAGTTCGATAATCTATTTCAATGACTCACTCTATCAATTGCTTTATTAATTAAAATAATATCTCAAATTAGAAAGATAAATGAACATCAATGTAAACTATTTATTGATTGATAGCTTACTTTTTACTAACTATTTTGTTAATTTATCTTAATTATTATTATCTATCACATTAAACTATAAAAATGTATAAAAATCAAATATCTTCATATTTATGAGCACTAAGTGCTCTACTATTGGTAACATCAGCAGCAGCTGTTTTATGAAATGACCAACAGAATGAGATGAATAATGAAATGAGTAAGTCTTTCAATAGTAGTATAGGAGCGATTAGCTTCTTGTAAATTAATTAACAATTTTAGACACTTTATTCAATAAATTATTAAATACCCATTGCTTTAACATTCAATTAAATTTTCTATATAAGTATTCACGTAAATATTGAAAAAAAATTACAATGAAATAAATGATATTTTTTTACAATAAAAATAAATAAATAGCTTTATAAAACGACTCTTAAAGTCTAAAAAGGAAATTTAAGGTATTAATTGATTCACTTAAAATAAAAAATTGAACATGATCAGCCAAGTGTAACCTGTTTCGTGCACCAATTGCTTTTTTTTCATCTTTCTTTCCTTTAGAAAAAAGATTTCTTTTAATTTAAAGCTTTACAATTTATTTTTGCATTTAAAAGATATATGCGATACAGCTTACGGCATGAAATAATATAGTTCAATTTGACTTTTTCGGGTCATTCATTTTTTTCACTCCTTCAGAAGTTGTTGCGCTCATGGCCCTCCAACAACATTTCATTATACATCATCGTCATCAAATTAGCATGGCCCAATACACTAATAAAGTTGTTTCTAATCATATCGCCTTCACATTTAATTTTATCATTTATTTAAAATCTTTTTTTAATTAATTATCATTATCAACATGTAATTTTTATTTCTTCCATTTATATATTTAAATTATCGTGGATGATGATGATAATATGATTGAAAACATACAAAGTATAATTTTATTATCATTAAATAGTTCATTATTTTTGTCATAGTTTTATGATGAGATATGAAGAAAAAAACGCGAGATCATGACCCTATCAGTAACATGTGCCATGAAACTAAATGATAAAAAAAATTCAAAAATGCTAATATCACTAGATCTTATATTTTATTCTGTATGCAATGTTAATTTAGAAATGGAAAATTTTTTGTTTTTTATGAATGAAAAACTGAAGCTTCTTTTTTCAGAACAAAATTAATATTTTGATGATTTCGATCATTATACAGAAATTATTATTGAGAAATATAATTTTCAAAATTATATTTGCCGTTGAAACATCAAAGACGATTAAAGTGGTACAGCAGAGTCGTGCATCAATAAATTGAAATGTAAAAGGCTTTGATACTATCTTTTTCATATCGAGCTCTCAAGGTCCCTGGTAAAAAAGTTAAAATATTGTATTTTGAACTGGATAAGACATAATGTTTAATTTTATTACTAAATCTGTATGTCTTTAAAAATTATCATTCCTTTTGATATTTATGAAGTTTTTAACGTTTTTTACTCAAGCTCTTTGAAGATTTCTTGTATGTAAAAATTTAGTGGTGAATGAAAAAAAAACATTTGAGTAAATTAAAAAATGAAAAAACCCATGGTATACTCGTTGATATCATCTGTTTATTTCTCTTATGAATTGAATTAATTTTGATATTTGCAAGGTTCTTCTAATAAAAAAGCATGAACCATGCTGTTCACTTGCATTTTATTCACTTGTCTGACCTTGTATTATTGTCTTCTGACTTGATAACTGTACAGATTTTATTTGCTTGATGTTTATACCAATTTTGTAAAACTATAACTCATAGTCAATTAAATAGAGTGTCATTTTGCGGAAAAAACCAATTAAAGAGGGTGCATATACATGGTAGAAGTGAAGGGAAATGTCATTTTACCCATTGTGACATTTTATTTGACGGCCTTTTTAAATAGAAATTTTATCTTTAATGAGAATAAATGTTTATTAAATTAACATCAAAACTAATAAACCAGAGTTAAGATAATAGGTATCATTACTACTTATTATTAGTCAAATGAGCCTGCAACACCTGAACTAAAAAATGAGCTATTTGTAGCTATGTTATCAGATATAGGTAGGGAGGTCCAAGAGTGCATAAATATAAGCTTGACTGTTTTTACTTGATTTTACATAAAGATGCATAATCTTATGCGTCATTTAATCCAACTTCCGTCTGAACTAGTGGTGCATAAAATTTTGTAACAAATTTTATCCCAAATTATCCATTTTCTAGTTAAATCTCTGGTCACGTATCGTAAAGAGAAAAAAATATGACGAAAGACGGACTGCAAATTGCAACTTATTTTATAGATAAATTTAAATAGCCAATGATAACACTAGTGCATGGAAGTAATGAAATAATTTTAAATTAAATTTTATGTGAATAGGATATAAATTATATTATTTTAAATATTTAGAGAATATTCTGAAAAAATAATATTAACTTATTTATGTTATTTTACAACTTGCTTTCATAGATATAAATATATAGATTGGTCACGATAGTTACAAAATTTCCGTAGAAATATATCATACATCTGATAAATATAGGCAAATGCCAATTAAATTATACATGCGAATCAGTAAATGAATTTAATAAACGAAAAGTATTTTGCATTTCCCATATAAATGCATGAACGTTCTTTTAAGTTGAAATCAATCGATGTATTATTGACTTAAAACAGGTTTTAAATTCGTTCTCTTTATTTTTACAAAGAAAAGCTTTGAATAAATTTTGGAACAATTTCTGATAAATATCAATTAAAACGTATAATTCATTTGAAATTAAGTACCTGAAAAGGTTACACTATCAGATAAAAAAATTTATTCTATAAGCACATTACATGTGAAGACATTCATTCATTAATCATGCTGGTACAGGCAAGGCTACTTTAGTAAAACTGGATTGGCAACAGTCGTCAGGTTCACAAACACCAAGTAATGCAATATTTTATCAAATTTTTGTCGCTGTCTGTACAAGTTTGTGCAACATTGTAGCTACAATTTGCTCATTTATCGTACAGTCGAGTCTAAAAGTCAACGTTACTTGAGATATAAAATCAACTCTAAAGGAAGAACTGGGTATTCTGATTACAGAGTACTCACTATAGTTATGAAAAAAAAAATTTTTTTCTCACTAACCGCTGTTTCTCTTCCTGCATGTGTCAAAAGAAACATTTTAAATAAATATATTCACCCATTATTAAACAATTTTTAGTTTCTTTTTTCTGTTTCATGTGGTTTGGTTGCGTGATACGTGTATAGTTGATGAGAATACACAACGTACAGAGGGGAATCAAGCAGGTTATTTCGAGTACTTACTCTTTACAACATATACATACAAGCATCAACATATGTATTCTCTTATTCACGAGCTATGGTGAAATCGTCGGTTATAGCTACTGGTAAGAAGTTGAAAGAAAGATATGGTAGATAAAGCTAATGGACATCGGCCAGGTACAGAGTAAGTATTGATCAATTATTAGTAATAGGAACTACTTAAACATTTTACGCTCCAAATTATTTTACTCATCACTTTCAAAAGTAACATGATTGAAACTTATCCAAGATAATTGAACTCGGATTCTTTTTTATTTTAAAACTTGGATGTTAAAATATTTTTGAACAATCTTTCAACTCTGTTTGGAGTAATTACTTTATCAGAAAATTATCACAATTTTGATGAATACGCCAATCAATGAAGACCAAGGATATTTCAAAATGGAATTTCATTCATAATTGAAATTTGATAAGATATATTCAAAAAACATTGTTAAGATACGCGTTGATATTGATCCCCCGAGTTTCTGAGTTATCATTTGTTAGCAAACTCATACAGCATGTTATCCACACCGAGTAATAGAAACTTATGTCATTTATTCTACCATCAATTAAAAAATGTTACAGTCTATAAAAATTTATGCAGTGTACCTTTCACGGGTTATCATTTATAACAGTATTTAAATATTGTTCTCATTTTAATAATATATAATATCTACGTTAAGCATAGCAGTAGAAAGCTCCGCTATAAACGATAATATCTTATTTTGATTTTTTTAATCGTTAGTTACGATACATTTACGAAAATTGATAGGAACTGCTTGAAATTAACTGTTATCTCTTATGCCTTGTAATAATTGATAAATTATTTATCAAAATATTGCACTCAAAATAATTCATTCGTCTGTAGATACGTTTAAGTTATTCATTCTCTTGAAGTAATTTCACAGCTGGAAGATTTCAAAATTTTTAGCCAAAATTATAATAGTTTCGGGAAGTTTTGGATGACTTTCATTACAATTAGATTTTAAATAGAGAATTCTTCCGCTCCAGAATTTTTTGCAGGTATCATATTAATGTCCCATATAGTGTAGTGGTTATCATACCTGGTTTTCACCCAGGAGACCCGGGTTCGATTCCCGGTGTGGGAATGTTGGATTTTTTACCCGAGAAATTAAATATTTTTTTCACTATATTCTTCAGAAAAGTTTTCTTTTTCATTTAAGACAGGTACAGTTTTCTGCACAAGTATGACAGTAGATAGTATTTAATTTCAACAAGACAAATAAACTATCTCAAGCTAGGGGTTTATGACCCTTGTCTTTTGCTCGAGTGATAATTTTCTTCGTGGTGAAAGTCGGTCTATTTTTCCTCCCTTGAAAAATTTATTTCAAAACATTTCCCATCAATTATAGTAGATATAGTAGGAATCTTTTTGAAATTGATGGTAACTTATCATAAGGAACACTTGTTATCATCTAATGACATGATATACTTACCAACGATCATCGGTTTTCCTTCATTACCTACCATCGATTCTAAACAGCATGAAGTAGTTTTGCAGAATTACTACAAGTGTCGCTGCTAAATTTTGAAATGAAATATTTTACTGCCAAATATTTTAGCGATAATTACTAATAAAAAAATATTCTTTTTGTTGCAGCAGCATAACTAATGAGACTTTAATGAGGATAAAAAGGTTTTTGGATATACGAATACATAGTAATTAAGTGGAAAGAAGAGTTCACTGATCATATGTCTAAGATGCGTTTAAGTGTTTAAATTTCATTATAAACCTGATGAAGCATTAACGTTCATGCAACCCTTGTGGTGTTAAATAGGAGACAAGTTTAGCTATGGACAAGGCCTAAGTTATAGAGGATACATCTACTCTTATGTAAGTGGAAAAATAATTTTTAATTAATAGTAAGTTTCTATGAAGCATGCTCTAATCTATTAGAGAATCATAATTTTTTTTTTTCATGATAAACTAAAAGGGAATTAAAATAAAATATTAAAGATAAAGGGATGAAGAAAGGTAAACACATTATTGATGTATTTTTTTTTTTATTAAGTTTATTTTATATATCGACAACAACACGTCATACATTAGAAAACAGAAGGTTTCTTGAAGCAAACTCGAATGAAAAGTTTTGTGGAACAATCCGAGAGACACTATGTGAGTGTGCCGCGCCATCATCTATGGAGTCGTATATATATATATAATATTGTGGTGTGTCTCATATTTGTGTGGTCATCCTTGTGAGTGTGTATTTGTGTCTTGCGGGGGGTATGTGAACGGCTGTCCGTGATACTTTTGTGTCTCCTTATCTTCCTTTTACTCTCGCATTCTCGCTCTCGTTCGTTCTCACAAATTCGTCTTGCACACTTGGTGTAGCACTTCGTGTATCGTAGAGTGTGTGGCCTATTTTCGTGCGCTAGTATGTACCGAGGCCGTGAAAAAATCCGGTAACACACTGGCGCACAAATTTTACAAAATCGAACGAAATATTTCCAAAATTTTTACGCATTAGCGCGTATCTCATTAGTTCTGTTGCCCTTGTCATAAACCACTTTCCTATAGTTCCAGGATTGTTGGGCTATCGTAATGATACAGTAAAATAATGAATGAAGTTGAATTGACAAATAATTAGTAGGAACGTGCCGTTTGTTAATTTACAGTAAAAATAGGTAAAACTAACGTTCAAATAAACATTTTATAGACGAATAAACTATCGTTACTTCAACATCTTGATGTTATAATTTTTAATGTTTTTTTTTTTCTTTTCTGTTTATTAATAAAATTTTATTATTCGAAATTCCATAAGTCTTTGAAATTTAGAGTTAATAAATGCGTAAAAGGTATAAGGGCACGCCAAAAATATACACTAAGATGAAAGTAACGGTAGTTGATCGTGCTTGACAAAAACGGTCTTATACTCAGCGATGTGACGTAGAAAACGTTTGCGGGATTGTTAACGGCCATACGATAACGACATATTATTTTAAAATAATTTTTAGCATCGATAAATTTAGATAATTAGTATTTTTTTCGAAAGTTATTTTTTTTACAAAAACCCGTAACGACCGCTGAATCGTACGGCAACTCTCCACGTCTCCTCTTGCAATTTATGTACAATTTTACAACCTACCGCCGTCGACATATAATTTTTATTATTTTTTTTTTCTCCGCTTCATCCATCAAATATACGAATAGGACCTAGACATCGTAAATTTTTTACACTATACTAACGAAATCTAAACGTTCAATTTTCATTTTCACCACACTAAGAATAATAAATTTTGCCATATCGTTAGTATGCCTTTATAGAAATATGCTTACAAAAATAGAATTTTGTGAGGCGTGGAAAGTGCATCGATATCAAGGCCGTACAAGTTGATATTTATCTGTTCGTTCCAAAAAATTTGCTTAATCTTGCTAAATTTTTTCGTATAAGTATTTTTTTTTCTCTTAAATTTCTTTTTTTATCAGCCAGGAACGACCAAGATTATTACTTAAATTATTTTCATCTTTATACACAACATTTGTCATCGTAGGCCGTCATCTCCACGCAACCAAATTTAGTATGAAAATTTTTGTTTAACTCTCATTTTGCCCTAAAGTTTACCTCACTTTTTTCACTCCTTAGTGATTCCACTTTTTTTGTTTATAATTCGTCCTTAATGGCCCGAACGTATATATATATTTATATAATATGTGTCTTGAAACTGTGTACAATTTTACGTTCTTTTTTGTAGTTTTTTTCATATACAATTTCAATAATAATCATCGTCACAATAATTATAAAGATACAGTGACAAAACAATGAGAATAATAATTGTAATAATAAATATTCGTAGCGATCGCGATGACAATGTGGCTATAATGACAATGACCATGATACCGATCACAATCGCAGTAATCATAATACACAATTTTTAATTATAAATATGCAATTTTTGTCGCTCGTATGCACAATAACTTTTTTGTCTTCTTTTTTTTTATTCACGTGCACTCTCACGCTTCTAAACTTCAGATTAACTTAATCATTTAAACTCGTCATTACAATAATACATTATTAGATTACATTATATCATAGTACGCTAGCATTTAATCAATAAATTTTACATACTTTGATACGCAGTATGATGGTTCCAAAAACGGTTATCGGCCAACCAAATTTTGTCCACACATCAATACACCTACGCGCAGTAATCGAAGTAATTTGTACTTGTAGCCATATATTATAATATTTTTTTTTTTTTAGTAGTTCAGCATTTTTTTTTTTTTACTTTTTTTCCTTTACCTTTCTTTTGTGTTTTCACTCGATCATTACATGCTTCGGGTTCACACTCTAATATTCCTCGTATGTCGCCACCTCGAGGCCCTGCACTTTTTTTTTTATTCTTTTGATACGAATATTTAAATATACCTTGCCATCGTTTTTATCAAATCTTATAACCGTTTGACCTGTCGAAATCTCTACGACAGCATTGTGTCCTATTATTTTACCTACCTCGTATTCGTGTATTATTTTTTTAATCTCCCGTTTTTTTCTCACCCATTTTTTGTTACGCTTAAATCTTAAATAGTAACGAGATATCGTTGCCAAAAATATATAAAAACCCGGAAACGTTTGCTTTTTTTGTTTTATATTGGCCGAAATCGAGACGAGCGTATATACTACTGTCGAAATTACCAGGGGTGCTGGATCATTTGATTGACAGTGAATTAGCATTGTTTTTTTTTGTTGCACTTAAGTTATAATATTTTTTATTCACTCAATAATTTTGTTATGTATTAACTTTTGATTCCTCGGTCTAACCGGAAAATATTAACGATCCTGCACCTATGGAACTTCGAGCTATGATCGAGATCACAACGAGGTCACCGGACGACCGAAGCATCCCCCCACCCCTTAAAATTTACAATAGATTTTTTGGCAGCTTCGTATGTTCACATAATTTCACACTCATAAATTCATTTTTCCATGTGCTCACATAAGCATTCATATTTATTCTCACATTTTTTGCAATACACGTGCACCCTCTGTCCCTAAAAATTTTTTTGTATAATAAATCCTTTGTTTTTACAATAATTTTTTCTTTTTTTTTTAGAACATCCTAAACCACGAGAGAATTATTTAATTTTTATACACCTAAATTTACTTGCACCCGTTTCGGACGGGGCCTCCGGTGACCACATCTAACATCGATCGATCGCTACATAGGCTCAGTTCACATTCTCCTCGACTCGTCGTTTTTTTTTTTTTCATTTTTATTTTTTTTGTCGTCTAGTTTTATTTTATTTTTTTGTCTCGTTCTCCCAATACTTCTTACCATCTTCTTTGCGTGTGTAAGTGTGTATTTTTTGTAGTTTAATGTGAATTAAATTTATTTTTTTTTTCTTTTTTTTATTGGCTACAAATTTGCCCCTCTCGCTCACGCGTTTAAACCTCAAATTAGTACGAACCTGCAACCCTTATGAAAATGTACACTCACTATTCTCTATCGTCTAAGATACAACAACATTACTATATGTATATGGCTCTACAGATGTTCGCTTGCACTGCAACTCAAAACTGTGTCATATGGTATCCCTGTTCACATGATTCTGCTAAATCTGTTACCATTTGGTACAACTTGAGCTCATCAAAAATGTATCGATTTTTTTTTTTTTTACATACATTTTAACATGATGAAAATACGATGAGACATTTCAACAACTTTTCCAATCTATCCTCATAGCTTTTCAATATCATTTTTAGGCCTTATTTTGCCTTCTACCATTGGTATAATGACAATGACTACTTACTGTAGCTCACAATATAATAATAATTATTTTACTTCTTTTTCTGCTTATTAATATTTGATGAAATACCTGAAGAAAAATTGAGAGTTATACCAAAGAGCACACATAGCAGACTCACGATCACAAGGTACAGATTTAAATATTTAAAAATGTTCGGACATTCCTGGGATTTGATTTTTCGTCTCGAAATCACCAGGAATTTTGGAGACTCCTACCCGCGTTATGCTTCCGCCGAGATGCCCGCTTACAACACGGCGGATTACATCATTGTTCTTAACCTTTATCAAACAATCTATTGGATGTCTTCTCTGCAACATCAAATCTTAAATACCTTTGCGC